CCCATGGATGTGCTTTTGATTTGTTGGTATATTTGTCCATCAAACTGAAACTAGGTGGTGAGGCAGAGGTTGATGAAGTCCATGATTCTGGGTATTTCGATCTGGGTGTATTTGGTTAAGTCGGGTGTGTTGTATAGTACTGCTGATATGGATTCTTTCGCTAGTTCTGGGTTTATGGACGTAAAGTGAATATTCTATCAACTCCTCACTACAGTGCCTCCAGAAAATCAAAGATGTACACATAGATGAAGATGAAATTATGGTCTCATTTGATGTCACAGCACTCTTCACATCCATAAACCCAGAACTAGCGAAAGAATCCATATTAGCAGTACTACATGAATGAATGACTGTAAAATGTGATTTGCCAAAGCAAGTCCATTTATATAAGATCAGAAAACATTTGTTTCCAGCAGTAAGACTTCTTTAGAATTAAGGGATTTTTCTTCCTTTGAAAGTATGTGTACTATACTTTAAGTCAGTGACTTTTTTTTCAATTAATGATAAGATTATACAGAAAAATCAATGTAAAAAAGTTGTAATTAAAATATATAAATAAATTGACTAGCTGAGTTGCCTTAAAATCATAACATAGAGGTATGTTAAGTAAAAAGTTACTTTTGAGGAAGAACCAGAATATCCTACATGGATAAGCAATAACATTGGCTAGGCTTGTTCTAGTACATCTTGTTCTGGTGTAGTACAGTGGCAATAGATAGGAATTATGCAACTTTCCTATTGATCTCGAGAGATGGATACAATCCTTCTTTGTTTTATGAAATCTATTAGATACAAGAGGATTTATAAGTTCCGAGCATGAAATCTTATAGAAATGGTAGCACAGAGGAGCACTTTGTGGTGGCTTTAATCATGTAAAATCATATTTGCACTTTGCCATGATGAGCAGCCTTCTATTAATTCCTAAACTGCAGAAGATCCCTCATCAATTTGGAGATATAGTACCTAGGATGATGATGATGATGATGATGATGATGATGATGATGATGATGATTTCAACTATGGCCCTATCAAACCTCAGTGGAGAAATTGCTCAAAAAACTACCTTTATGAATATATTTCTGAAGCAGAATCTTCCAGTTGATTTGAAATTATCAAAGAGAATCAGACCAGATCTCTTATTTCTAGCAAAATTTATTAATCCATAACAAAATTGATTTGGCAAGCGCAGGACTGTGCAACAAGGGAAATCAACCTAGATAGTAGATGCATTAGCAATACAGCCAGGGACCTGAACTAAGAGTCTTAAAAATTTAGATTGGATGGTTTTCATTGGATTTAATTTTTGTTTGTAATCATGTGTATTTTAATAGTTTAAAGGAACATTTGTTAAATTTAGTAATATCTCAGATTTTAAGATGGCTTTTTCTTATTTATTTCAGAGAATATAGCTGATAGAGAAAGATGACTTCTTTCTACAGCTTACTACATTTAACTTTTAAAAAACTGACTTCTAACTAAAACATCTGGGATTAGTTATATAGATAAAAAATAGGCTTAGTGAATATTTATGGCTGGAATAGTAATATAAAGCAGAATCTTTCCTTAAACCCAGAAAAACAATGAACTGCGATGAATGAGTGAAGTACTGAATGCTTTTAAAGTTATTGGACTTTGAAGACAAATCACATAACAAATCATGTAACATAATGCAAGAATATTATTACATTTCTAATATTATTAGTTAGAATTAGAATTGCTGATATACTGTTCTTTCAGGAGAAATGAGTTGCAAGCAGACTTGTTTTGTTTGAAAAAGTATTTTAAAATGTCTTTCTTCTTTAGACGAAACTATTTATAAGCCTGACCTCAATAAACAACCAGTGCAATGTCGTAGATACCAATTAAGTAACTTTTACATAGCTGTGAAATAATATGATGGTAACAAAACTGACAATACATCATACATGGTGGCCTATTCAGAAATACTGCTAAGTCAAAATGTGGAAGATCATGTTTAAATCAAAAACAAACCTACCATATTATAGTTCAA